TGTTTAATAACAGCAATACATGGCAACCATCATTCAAAAAGAATTCACTCAGCTCACAAAAGACAGCAGCTATGAACATATGAAATCTGACAGCACTAATCAACTTCTCCCCCACACTTGGCTATTGTATTGTCCTCAATACAATCAATAAAGCCAAAGCCAAACAAAATCAAGAAAGGAGTTCACACAGATGTAATGATAACTATGTTACCTTCTACTAGTATTGCCTTTTCCCCCACTTATCTCCAGAAAAAAAGAAAACAAAACAAACAAAAAAAAAAAACAAAACAAAGAGCACAACAATTATAGAAATAAAGAAAAGTTAATGAGGGAAAGAAGCAACCTGATCAAGGAGGCTCCAAATTCTCATGGTACAACTTCAGCAAATGTCCATTAACTTTCATACTCCTGCCACTCTCTTCATCCAACAATTCAATCATGCCAAAATTGTGAACTTTAGTAACCTTATAAGGACCATCCCATCTTGTTTTTAATTTCCCTTGCTTAAATTTAAATCTGGCCCTAAACAAGAGAACTTTATCTCCCACAGTGAAATGTTTCCTTAGGATACCCCTATCATGAATAGCCTTAGTTTTCTCTTTATACAATCTTGAGTTTTCATAGGCTTCTAATCGAATTTCCTCTAATTCCTGCAGCTGGAGTTGTCTTTCTGTTGCAGCAGATTCAAAGTCCATGTTACAAGCTTTTACTGCCCAAAATGCCCTATGTTCAATCTCAACCGAGAGATGACAAGATTTTCCATAGATAAGCCTATATGGAGACATTCCTATAGGGGTTTTGTATGCTGTCCTATAAGCCCATAAAGCATCATTTAACTTGCTACTCCAATCTTTTCTAGAGGGTTTAACTATCTTTTCCAAAATTTGCTTCACTCCCTATTAGAAATTTCAGTTTGTCCATTAGATTAGGGATGATAAGGTGTAGACATTTTATGAACAACTCCATATTTTGCAAGTAATCCATCCACAACCTTATTACAGAAATGTGTCCCTCTATCACTTACTATGGCTCTAGGGACTCCAAACCTTGTAAATATATGAGATTTGAGGAATTTAGAAACTGTGGCTGCATCATCTTTCTTAGTTGGAATAGCTTCTACCCACCTTGAGAGGTAATCAACAGCCAATAAGATGTAGATAAAACCCATAGAAGAAGGGAATGGGCCCATGAAGTCAATTCCCCAAACCTCAAATATTTCACAAAATAACATAGGGTGAAGGGGCATTTCATGTCTTTTACTTAAACCACCAAATCTTTGGCATATATCACAAGTTTTACAATACTCATAGCAATCCTTAAAAACAGTAGGCCAATAAAAACCAGCTTCTAAAACCTTTCTGGCTGTTTTCTTACCACTGAAGTGACCACCACAAGATAGTGAGTGACATGCTGATATGATACCTTCAAACTCATCATCTGGAACGCACCTCCTGATAATCTGATCATTGCATAATCTCCACAATAAAGGAGGATCCCACACATAATATTTAGCTTCGCTTTTAATTTTTTGTACCTGAAAACGAGACAAAGAAGATGGGATCAGTCCAGTAGCTAGGTAATTAACCATGGTTGCATACCATGGTTCCTTAACTGCTAAAGCAAGCAAAACAGCATCTGGAAAATCATCACAGGTTATGTCAGGAGCATAAACTCCCTGAGTTCCAGGTGGTAAACGACTTAAATGGTCAGCAACAGTATTTTCTGCTCTACTTCTATCTCTAATGTCAACATCAAACTCTTGCAATAGAAGCATCCACCTTAACAACCTTGGTTTTGATTGTGGTTTCTTAAACAAAAATTTAATAGCAGAATGATCAGTATATATAACCACCTTAGAATTAATAAGATAAGCTCTAAACTTGTCCAAAGCAAACACAATAGCAAAAAGCTCTTTTTGGTTGTTGTATAATTCATTTGAGCATTATCTAAAGTTTTTGAAGCATAAGAAATTACTTTGGACAGTTTATCAATCTTTTGACTTAACATGGCACCTACTGCAGCATGAGAGGCATCACAAGACAACTCAAATGGAAAGTCCCAATTTGGTGCAGTGAGTATGGGTGGTGGTGAAACAAGCATATTCTTCAGATTATCAAATGCAATTTTACATTCCTCATCAAAATTGAAATCAGCATCTTTTTGCAAAAGTTTGGATAGTGGAGAGGGAATTTTACTAAAGTCTTTCACAAATCTTCTATAAAAACCACAGTGACCAAGAAAAGACCTAAGCTCTTTCAAGGTTTTAGGATATGGTAAAGATGATATAACTTCTATTTTTGCTTTATCTACTTCTATGCCATTCCTAGAAACAAGATGCCCTAACACTATGCCTTGCTCAACCATAAAATGGCACTTTTCAAAATTTAAGATGAGGTTCTTCTCTATGCATCTAGCTAAAATCTTATCCAGATTTTCTAAACAAGAATTAAAGTCATCACCATACACAGTGAAGTCATCCATGAAAACTTCCATGGATGACCCTAAAAACTCATGAAATATGGCCATCATAGCCCTTTGAAATGTTCCCGGAGCATTGCATAGCCCAAAGGGCATCCTTCGATAGGCAAAGGTCCCATAGGGACAAGTAAAAGTTGTCTTGTCTTGATCTTCAGGTGCTATAGGAATCTGGAAATAACCTGAAAATCTATCAAGAAAACAATAGTTAGTTTTTCCAGCTAGCTTTTCAAGCATTTGGTCAATAAAAGGTAAAGGAAAGTGATCTTTTCTTGTTGCATCATTTAATTTTTTGTAGTCAATACATACCCTCCATGAATTTTGCACCCTAGTGGGTATTAATTCATTTTTCTCATTTTTTATTACAGTTATGCCACTTTTTTTGGGTACTACATGTACTGGACTAACCCATTCACTATCTGAAATAGGGTATATAATTCCTGCACTAAGTAGCTTAGTCACTTCTTTTTTGACCACTTCAATAATTAAGGGTTTAATCTTCTTTGTGGCTGTCTTATAGGCTTAGCACCTTCTGTTAATAAGATTCTATGGGTACAAATGGAAGCATTTAAACCTGGAATATCAGCTAAAGACCAGCCTATAGCTCTCATATTTTTTTTCAGAACTGTGACTAATTGTTGCTCTTCAAATTCAGATAGTGAATTAGCTACTATAACAGGCAATTTATTGTTTTCAGCCAGAAACACATATTTCAAATTAGAAGGTAAAGGTTTAAGATCCAAATCTGGTGGTTTGATGACTGATGGAATAAGTTCTTGCGGTTCCAAAGCTCCTACCCAAGTCTTCATCTGTTCTGGAAACTTTTTCACCCTGTTCAGATCAGAAACAGCAAGTAAGTGATCTAGAGGAGAATCAAACTCAAATGAATGTAACCAATTTAAAACATTCAGGTCCTGTTTAGTTTTCTTATTGATGCCTCTGCTACTGATTTGCTTCTTAGAATAAACTTCATTAGAGGCAAACTCCAATTGCTCTTTAAACTGTTTTGGACCTAAAACAAATTCAGAAAGTAAATCATAAAATTGTTTAATAGTTTGAAATGAACTTTCAGAATTTAAATCAAGCATTAAATCAGATTGGGTTTTCTCTAAACACAATGCTAGAGGTAGCTACAATGTAGACTTGTCATTAACATCATCTCTTGTTGAAACAATTGCTTGCTTATCCTTATCCAAATCATCCATGACAGCATCTTTTGAAACTTCATCACAAGAGGCTTTTAAGTCTTTCAGCTCATTCTTTGCAATAGATTCAGCCTCTGCAAACTCAGCTAAAATTTGTCTTCCACAATCATCACTTGAAAGTAAAGAGTTAGTGGCACTAATAAAAGAAGTAGTATCAAAAGAAAAAGACTGCAAGATGGAAAGTGAGCTATCAACCGAGAGTTGGCTAATACTACACACGTCATCATTGCTGTCCAAAAAATAATCAGAGAAGAAGAAGGAATCAATCTCAGTTGTAGTCAATTCAGGTTCTACTATTTCCAAATTATCTTCATCACACAATGTCAATGCATGTTCAGCAGCAGATTCATCAATGAAAACATCAATAACCCTTAGATCAAGAAGAGAATAATCCTCAAAAGGGTGTCTCATAGCTTCATAGACATTAAATTTGATTACATGATCACCTACTTCCATTGTAATATACCCATCCTTCATGCTAATGACTGTATTTGCTGTTCGAAGAAATGGTCTTCCCAAGATTAAAGGTCCTTCAAAGACTGACTCACGTGACATGTCAAGGACATAAAAATCTACTGGAAAAACCAAATCTTTTACCTTTACTAATATGTCTTCTAACAGTCCAAAAGGTTTTCTAGTGGTTCTGTCTGCTAACTGAACAATCATGCTAGTATTTTTAATAGAATCAATGCCTAAAGATGTGTAGATAGACATAGGCATTACATTGATTGCTGCCCCTAAGTCTAAAAGGGCACTAGCAATGTTCAATTTACCTATGGTACAAGGAATACTAAATGCTCCAGGATCAGCACATTTTACAGGAATTTGTGGCTTGAATAAAGCTGAAACACTAGAACCAATCTGCACCATCTCATTAGGTTTACATTTTCTTTTATTAGTGCACAAATCCTTCAAGAATCTCATGTATTTAGGCATGCTTTTCAAGAAATCCAGCAATGGAACATTGACTTCTAGCTTGCTAAACAAATTCAAAGCTTCTTTTTCTAATTTTTCATTTGAAATTTTTTTATTAAGCAGAAAGGAATTAGGAAAGGGAAGTTCTGAAATTCTTACCTCTTTTTCTGGATTCTGGACAGCTCAGATGCAGTAGAGTTTAATTGCTCCTTATTTTTCCTCTTCAGTTGCTGCTCCTTTTCTTCTGTGACAGTTCCCTCATCCTTATTGAAGTGGTGATGTGTGCAAGTTTGACGTTCAGAATCTTCAACTTCATCCATATCAGATTGATTTATCATCTTTCTTGCCCTTGATCGTAATTGATTCTCCTTCCCACTTTCAGACTTTAATAAATGTCCTTGAGCACTATTCTCTTTCATACACCTTCTTCACAATCACTCTCTCCTTCATCAAAGTGGGCAGCATTTGAGAATTATAATCCTCCTTGTCATCAGTGGCAAATTTCACTTGCTTTCCACTTCTCAATGTTATAGCATTTAAGGACTTTGGATTGATTACAGTATTAGATGGCAGTACACCTCCAATTTTTGCTTGAACTTCATTGAGTGTATTAGCTATTTGTGTAACAAAAGTATTCAGATTTGATGACTTTGTCTCCCACTGCTCAAACTTATTTCCAAGGCAGCAAACCTAGAATTACTCACTGCATTTGTACAATCCAATTTAGACCCCAATTCTTCCATAGTTGACAATATCTTGGTCAAATTCTCATCATTCTTTGATGACGAAGCTCCTTGTAGAGGTACCACAGCCCTTTGATTTTCTGCAGAATTTCTACTCTCTTGAAACCTATTCAGCCCTTGAGATGCCCTTTCCCCTCCTTCTCTCCATCTCAAATTTGGATGATCTCTCCATCCTTCATTGTATGTATTGGAAAAGGGATTTCTTTGTTGAAACTGATTTGGTCTATTTGGATACATGGCTGCTAGGTCTTCATAGTGTGCAGGACAGGTCTCACTAGTATGCATAGGTGATGCACAGTGAATACAAGAAGGTCCCACTAGAGCTTGGGAAGTATTCACAGCATTACAAGCCTTCGGTTGCCTTTCATTTTCCAGCCTTTCTAGCCTTTTATCCATTTTTGACAACAGCTGAACCAACATATCTTGAGAGTTATCTGTAGTAACTTCACTAACACCTACAACATCTCTTGTGTAAAATTGTTGATTGCTGTTAGCCATAGTCTCCAATAATTCCCAGGCCTTATTAGGTGTAAGAGCAAAAATAGAGCCATTTGCAGCAGCATCTATACTCATCTTATAAGAGGGCAGTAAGCCTTCATAGAAATATTGCACAAGGTTTGACTTACTACACTGATGATTTGGACAGCGATTAATAAGAGTCAAATACCTTGTCCAATAGTCATATAAGGATTCTTGGTCTCTTTGTGAAATCCCATAAATGGCCTTTCTTAGCTTTGAGATACGTGAGGCTGGAAAATATTTGTCTAAGAAGGTTTTCTGCAATTGTTCCCATGTGAGTGTAGCATAATGTTGAGGTAGGGTATGAAGCCATTCCTTAGCTCCTCCCTCTAGTGAGAAATGAAAAACCTTCATTAGCATATCTTCCAGCTTAGCTTCAGGAGGTTTCATGGCTGAACACACTGAATATAAAGTATCCAAATGCTGATAAGCATCATTCCCAGCCAGGCCATAAAACCTTGGAAGAGCACTAATCAATGATCCCTTGATTTCAAAATTTGCAGCATTGGCGTAGAAACCTTTAGGAGTACAATGGGCAGCAGTATTGTTTATGTCTCTGATGCTTCTAGTATCATCCTCATTTGCATTGTTTCTTTGAGCCATAATGAAATGGTTGTCTATAAATTCACCTGCAGCAGAATCTGAGTCAGAAAAATTATTAGAATCACTTGATTGGCTAGTGGGTGTTATGTGAGATGTTTCCTCCCTATTTTCCAAACCTACAGTTCTTACGTGTTTGCTCTTTTTCAATTCCCTTAAAGTCTTATTAAGATCTGGATCTAAAGGTAAAAGTTCCCTATTTCTGGTCATAAACTTTTCTCCTCCTTTTTTTTTTTTTACGAAAAAAATAGCAATAAAACTAAATGACTGCAGAATCAAAATCTCCAAAATAATGCAACTCTAAGCAGAATCACAGCAAAACAGAAACAAATTTTTTTTTTAATAACAGATTGAAGAGCAAAAATTCTATATAAAAAAAAAAATTCAAGGCAGATTACAAAACACTCTAGCAACTGAGAACCAAGGAGACAAAACTCCCCGGCAACGGCGCCAGTTGATAAACTCTGTCGTAGGAGCTTATCAAAAATTCTAGTTTGCAAAAATATGTAGTAATTGTGCAAGTCCTAGGTCGATCTCTTGAGGAGCTAAGATTCCTTGAAAATCAGTTAAAAGAGTGTTCAACAAATTAAGTTGAAGAAAAGTTATCCTATGCAAATTGTTGGTTCAAAAATTCCTTTGAAGAGTAGAATAAGAAAGAAAATGATCAGAAGCAGAGTATCAAAAGAACAGAATTGAAATCAACAAGTTGAGAAACTTCCTTCGGAGAATTCCCTAGCCTTCATTGCTATTCATATTTCGTTTGCATTGATTAGAAAGATAAATCTGAATATGCCTTCACAGATTAAGAACATGAAATGCATTCAGAGCTCCTAGATGAATACTAACAGCATCCATTAAATTTTAATCAACTCAGTTACAATCTGATTTGAACAAATCGAAAATCAGAACTGAATCTACTCCGAAAAAAGAGCATTAGACACCTAAACACATAGCACATTCGAAATCCTGATTTAACAATCATAAAGAAGTACATAAACTCAGCTAATAAGATCAGAAATCACACGTTCTGAACAGAGAAGAGTATTTCCAAATCCAGAAAAAAAAAATCTGAACAAACTCCCTTTCAAGCTCCATGACTCAGGCTTCAGTTGAATCTCCAAAGGAAGAAGAGTTTCAGCTCCTCATGGCCGCAGGAATGGCTTGGGTAGATCTTTGGATTTGCTTCGCCATTGCAGAACTGATGCGAACGGGGAGGTGTGGCGGAGAAAGCGAGATAATCTGAAGTTGAGAGAGAGAAAAAGGTGCAAGCGAAAGAATGTATAATATCCCCCGTGTGTATCTCTCCTTCTTTAATAATAATATATCATTTTCATAGATCCTCCAGCCCCCCACTTCTTTCTTTAATTTCCGTCCAATTCCATTCGGTCCCCACACTTCATTTTCAACTTGAATTCTTGGTCAAAGAAGAACTACCCACGTGTCCCTCAATGCAAGTTGAATTTGTGTACAGTTGGCTAGCACAATTGGTTTCAGACTTTCTTCAAAAACTCCACATTTTGGTATTCTGAAGTTGGCTCTGTATTTTCCCAATTTGCCCCTAAAAGAAATTGCAAATCTGAAACAATATTAAGGCTCTCAAAATATCATTTTTTTCTATTAATTCCAGTTAAAATTTTTCTAAACTCCCATTTATTTTATACAAGCAAAATGTGATTAAGGAGTTTCATCAGTGAGGCTATGGGAGTCTTTGTAAGAATACCAACGTGGCTACGCAAGTTTTCATTTTAAAATAGAAAAAGGAGAAATAATTTTGGCCCAATGAATAATAAAATAAAAGTCCTTTTTTTAAATATATATGTATATATGTGTAATTTTAAAATGTTTTTTAGAGCCATGTGAGATTTTTAGAACTTCCGCAAACTTGAATGATTATTCTCCTATTTGAGGTTATAGGAACCTCCACAAGGAAAATAATCCAAAATTCTTTTCAAAAAAATATTTCATAAGTAAAAATACAAAAATATTAAAAAATACCAGCCCACAAAAATATCTTTTTTAATTGAATAAATATTTTCATAAAAAATAACAATCAAGTGACACGTATTTATCATATTTTTGAGTATGTAGAAAAAGAGGCTATTGTATAAAGTTTTCTCACTGTTTGTCATCTGCACATGCAATTCCAAGATTGAGAATGTCTCCCTGTATGTGCAGATTTGGGATACCGCTGGTCAGGAGAGGTTTTAAAGTCTTGGCGTTGCTTTCTACCGTGGTGCAGACTGCTGTGTCCTTGTTCATGATGTAAATGTTATGAAATCTTTTGATAATCTCACTGGCGTGAAAAATTTCTTATTCAGGTGGCTGTTAACTCAGGATAGTAAGAAATTTAGCTTAATGAAATAAAAATGAATGTTTCTGACAAGCTATTGATTTCACAGGCTAGTCCATCTGACCCAGAAAACTTACCGTTTGTTGTCTTGGGAACAAAATAGATGTTGATCGTGGTAATAGCCGAGTTGTAAGTTGCTTCTCCCTTCATGGCATGTTTGCTTCTTGTGATCCATGAAAATAGCCACCTAACTGAGTTATCTGGATTGGATAGACCTCCTGGCGGAGTTCTTAGAAGATTTGTGACGCTTCTTCTTCTTCGTCTTTGGAGAGTCTTGGTGGTGGTTGATTTTACTTCACAGCAATATCTTCCATATCTTTTGTTGTAGGTTTCTGAGAAGAAAGCAAAAGCATGGTGTGCTTCCAAGGGAAACATAACATATTTTGAGACCTCTGCTAATATCAGACAGAGAACCAGTGAATCAGTCATGGATTTTTCACCCTACAAACTGACTTGTCAAAAGATTAGCCATAGTAAAACAACTAATAAAATGGGTCAAAAACCTGTTTTGGTCTTCTTCATCTAATTATTGTTATGGCATTCTGTAATGAAGATTAATGATTTTTAGTTGACTCTACCCTACCATTTCATGCAGATAGATTTATTATTGTATGCAAAATGTTTTAATATTTGGTATCCAATTATTTAATATTTTGTATATGTTAATATAATTGCAAAATATGATGTATTTTTTTTTGGATACAATATGATGTATGTTTAGAAGAATGGTCCGTCCACAATTTCCTTGCTGTTGGACCATTGATCCGTGTACTGCTCCTTATCCTAGTTCAATAATCAGTCTGGTATTTTGAAACATTGAATTTTACTATGGGAGAATAACAAGAGTAAAGAGTTGGAGAAAGAGCAGACTGAGCAGGATATTTTAAGTGAGGGATTTGTTTCCTTTGAAGTACTCTGCTACTTTCAACTAGGTGATAAGGTCTGGCCTGTATATTTTTAACCGGAGCATTGGTTGTTCTAAAGGATTTTGTATAAAATCAGCTTTTCTGACGGTACTAGTTGAAGAACAAATAGCCAGACTAATATCGCCATGAACAATTGGTGGATTGCCATATTTTGGAAGTCATTAATTTGGCTTCTTCTCTGTAAATTGTGCAAATGCTCCTAATATGACCATAAAAGTCCATTTTGCCAAAAGCCGTACCAAGTTATATCCGCATTTGATTGCAAAAACATGATATTCATTTCTTTACGCCAAGAAGTTAAGGATATCAGAGTTCTTTTTATTTTTTGGGCCAAGGCATCACTGTTCAGCTTTCATTTGATAGTTGAGTGATCCAAGGTTGCAGAATAGTTACAACTCTGATGAGATGCTTCAAATGATTGCCTTTGCTGCAAATTGTGTGCGCCATTCAGCTAGGCATCAGCCTCGAATGAGCCAGGTCAGTTAACCAAGCGTAGAAATATGTTTTTAGTTCTCTGTTATTTTCTATTGATGAATTGCTTTGGACATTCTATTTCTACCAACTGTGTATGAACAAAGAATTCTCCCCAACGTTGCATCCACCTATTTCTCTGGAAAAAATGAGTCCAGTGTTGACTTGCAATATATTGTGAAGTTATTGCAAGCTACCGAGAAAAATCTGATAGAATGTCTAATGATATTTTGGAATGTAGAAATTCCGACATCCAATTTGACCGCTTGCAAATAGAATTCTAAAACCTAAAGATGCAGTGCTTGCTTGTAACGATTAAGATGTCTGGCATTGAGCAGGTAGTTCGGGCTCTAGAAGGCGATATTTCTTTGGATGATCTGAATGAGGGAAGCACACCTGGGCACAGCAGAGCACTTAGTTCCTTTGAAAGTTCAGGTTATCATACTGGCCAATACAATGAGGACCTAAAGAAGTTCAGGAAGCTGGCACTAGAGCAAGAAACTAGTGAATACAGTTGGCCCTGTAGTGATTGTGATCAATAACCGTCTGCCTCAAGCAGTTCAGGCCTGCAAAATATACAGGAGAAATAATGGGGAATGTAGAAGGGGAGATTTGCTGAGTTTTGGTCCTTGGACAGATAATTCTCATGAGTTGAAGAATGAGGATTGGTTCCTCATTTGTTGCTTCCTTCACAAAAATGAACACCTGAGTCGTTGGTAAATATAATTTGACTTTGTTGGTAGATGGTGCAGGTTCAGCGTACAAATTGGTTTGTTCGTTGATTTCAACAATCTAATTTTTTTCAGAAGTAACATTCTCTTGAACAATGTAATTCAAATAAGTGTAAGCCGGTTTCACCCTGGAAGCAAACATCTGCTGAACAAAAGAAAGCATTGACGTTGGGAGTCTTGAGACGAAAGGGTGGATCCGAATTTGGTTGGTTTATTTTGTAAGAAAGCATTTACTGATCCTAAGAGAATTACCAAATCTCACCTTCCAGCTGAAAATGCTCAAATTAGAATTGATGTCCCAGCAGGACAACTACAAAGTGCAAGTAAAACCAAATCACATCTGAAAGGGGGTAGACTAACAGATTCCAAATATAAAACTCCTTGAAAGAAAAAAGCAGCAAATAATCATGATAGTCAAATTGAGGAGGTAAGTCCTATAGGAGAGGAACGAAACATGACTAGTCAAAAGACCTCAGAAGAGGCTCAGGTACCTGAAAATAATGAAGAAATCTCGATAAGTTATGT